GGTCCTCAGGCGTGAGGTCCGTAGGGTTGGCCGGGCAGTCGAAGAGGTAGCACGTTGCGCGGGAAGGCAGGAGGCAGTCAGGAAAATTGTCTGTGACGTTGTCGAAGCATGAAGTGAGGCGGCATTTGAATGAATTCAGCAGCGTGGAGAAGCCGGAACCCCTAATAGCATTGCGCGCGTTAGCGTACTACGCAAGCACGCGCTTCACGCGTGCTTGGTTGTCATTGGCCGGGATAATGACACAATCGATAAGTGATTGGCTTATCGATTTTGCATACTCCGTGAGCAGCGGACGCGCGTCCGCAACTCGCGAGAGCATGCAGGTGTCACAATGGCGCCATTGTGACGTGGTGCAATCTGCTGATAACACCTGCAAGCGAGCTCTCTTTACTGTGACTGCAATTCCGGTAAATCTGTTGTTTTTCGCTGCTTTCTTCAGCATTTGGAAACCACCATCTATGAGAACTTTAGGAAGACGTGCTTTGCGCGGATATCTTAACGATTTACGTAAAATTGAGCAAGAAGCAAGGGGAATGACTAGGTTGCCAGACTCTCTTGACTCTTCTTGCAGTTATTCATCTGACGAATTTGACTGTAGCACAAATTTGTTGGACGATGGTAGTACCTGGAACTATTCGTCATCGGAAGAAGTAACAGAACCTTCAACAAGCAGCGTTACTGGGCACCCAGCGATGGAGCAGGAGGAGACTGTAAAAAGTGCCTTGCGGTCTTGGGCAATAGACTGCAACACCCCGATTAAACATCTGACGAAACCTCTCAAAATTTTGAGACGTGTGGCCCCCGACATACCAGGCGATGGATGTACGCTTCTGGGGAAAAAAAGCACTCGGAAAAAGGTGACGGCAATGGGCAGCGGTGAGTATGTCCACATGGGACTTTTTAAAAAATTAACCAAGCAAATAAGTCAATATTCTATGCCTATTATAGGAAATGATTTAGTAATATATTTAGCTATAGTTGGATTGCCCTTATATCGTAAAAATAAGTGTGACTTGTGGCCAATTCTTGGCCGCGTTATGGAGCCCTTCATAAGTGAAGTGCTTGTCATAGGAATTTATTTCGGCAAAGGCAAACCTTCAGAAGTCTAGGCCTACTGTAAGCCTTAAGTTAAGGAACTATTATGGTTATCTAGGCATGGCGTTCCTGTGGAATGTCTGCAGAGAACGTTTGAGTTTAGAGTGGGAGCTGTCGTTTGTGATGCTCCTGCTAGGTCTTTTACTAAACAGATTAAGAAAATGAATGCGTACTATGGTTGTGAGCGA